GGTAACTTACCGTAACTTATGTAACTTACGTAACTTACACAGACATCCCGAATCTTACGGTAATTTTACAACCCTGCTTACTTATAATAAGTTAATGTATAATTATACATCTCAGCTGATTTTTAATACCAATAAAATGCTTTTTTAAATTATTTTTAATTCTTTATCCATTTTAATAACATTTAACTAAATAATATTATGCAATATTATTATTACATTTTACTGATAGTTATAACTAATAAAATGCCTTTTTATTACTATTTCTGCTAATTTTTAATACTAATAATATGCTTGTTTTAAATTCTTTCCCAATTTTTTATTTATAATAGTAAATTTTAACTAAATTTATTATGTAATTTCATTATTACCTTTTACTAAAAAAATTAACTAAGATAATATTTTTGCATTATAATTTTTATTGACTTTTGATACTAATAAAATGCTTTTTTTAAATTTATTTAGATAATATTCAACTAAATTATATTATGCATAATGATTTTGATTAAATGTTATTTAATATTAAATAAAATGTATTTTCTAAACTTATTTTAACTCTTCATTCATTTTAATAATATTTAGCTAAACTATTTTATTCAATTGTATAATTATTTTCTGCTAAAATTTTTAATGAATAAAATGCATCAATATTACCATTTTCTGCTGATTTTAATATCAATAAAATGCTCTTTTCAATTTTTTTTAATATTCCAACATTTTGATAATACATTTAGTTAAACTATATGGGTCATAAACTAGCAAAATATACCTCTGAGAAAATCTTACTTTTTTGAGAAAATTATAGATTAACATAAAATTACCTTATTTTTTAACTCCTGAATTTTAGTTTATTTTTAGCATAAAATGCAGTATGTCGATCAATTTTAAAATTGTTTGTTTGTCAGATACAATAAACTTTTATCCTACCATGTCTAACTTTAATAATGATAATGATAAAGAAAATTTTTTTCTTTCTGTTGAACATACTTCTTTAGAACAATATGAAAATAATGAACTTATGCATATAGTTATTAATGACTTACAACAATTTTTTTCTTCTGCTATTTGTATTTATCATAACAAAAAAGAAAAATATTTTGAAAAAGTTGGGTTTAAAGCTTTTTTCAAAAGACATTTGGAATTTCGAAGTTTAGAAAAAGCACAGTTAGATTTGTTTTAATAGGTCAATTATTAGTTTTTTCTAATAATGAAAAAATAGTTAATGATCACAAAAATAGAAAATTTTTTGATTATCATTTTAATTCTGAAATTTTTTTATGTAAAAACACTTATCTTAAACTTGTTAGAATTTCAGATAGCATTTTAAGAGCAATTAGAAATCATTTATTAACTGAAGGATTAACAGTACGTCAACATAGAAATATAAAAAATCTTCCTAAAATAGCATCACAAGTTACAACCAATCAAAAATTATCAACTGAAATTTATAATTTAATTATTAATTATGCAAATTTTCATGGATTTCTCTTACTAGGTCATCATATGCAAACTGATTCTTTAGCAGTTATTTTATTACCTACTGAAAAAAGTTATATTAGTGTATATGAAGATTTTGTTGCAGTTAGTAAAGAATTAGATAATGGCACTTCAATTATATCATATAAAAACTTTGTTTGACTTTGAAAAAATCTTACACCACATATTAAATTTATGACACCTGATACAGATTTATGTGATAAATGAAAAATTAAAAAAACATTTTATTAGTATTAAAAATAGCTGATTAAAATAAATAGTGATATATAATATAGTTTAATTAAATATTATCTAAATAGATGAAAAACTGAAAATAATCAAAACAAGCATTTTATTGGTATCATAAGTCAGCAAAAAATAGTAATAAAAATTCATAATATGGGTCATAGACTAGCAAAATATATTTCCGGAACCCCCTGTCAAAAAAAATTTTTTTTGATAAATATAAACTAGACATATTCAATTATACAAAATTTGATTTTTTAAGTTATGCAAGTATAATAAATTATTGATTTATTTTGATTGAAATTTTTGTTACTGAAAAAAATCGATCAATCTAAAATTAGAATACTTATATTTAAGGAAATGATCAAGACGATCATCAGCTAGTCTGAAAATTTACTTGGTAAATTCACAAATAATACATTTTAAGCGTCTTGATCTATCTTTTCTAATTTCTATACGTTCGATCTTAAATTTTACACACTTGTCATTCAGACCTTAAACTGGTATAATCTAGGATTTGATGCAATTTCATTGTATGCACACACTTCCATCTCATTTCAAACTTTTGTCACTTTTTTTCTAACATTATCATTGCAATGATTATTTACTACTCTGATTCTGAAACTTTAAATAATTTTATTATATAGAGATTTTGGAATAGTACTAGTAAAGCTTATAAATATTATAAATTTTATTTTATTTTTACTTTTTTTTTTTAAAAAAAAATATAATCTATCGAACTATTGGTTTAGGACACATGATATCCTGAAATGGTTCATTAACAAATTTTTGAATATTTTTATACAAATATTCTTGATGCGCTAATAATAAAGGTTTAGAAGAAAATATAGTTATTGAAGCCCAAACATTGAAATGTTTGTTTTTTAAAATATCAAAACATTGAAATTCTCCTTCCGCCTCTTTTTGAGTAAATATTTTTCCTGGTTCACTTCTTTTAAACCAAAAATGTTGATGTTTTTGAATACCAGGTAAATTTTAAAAATGAGGTTTTAAAAATGATTCAAAATCATAATATAACCATCCATTTTTATTATTATAATGAATAGCATGATTAGAATTATATTTAGTGGACTTTTTTACTACCTTTTCAACATCATCTACTGTATTAACTCGCATTTTTCGAAAAAGAGCTTTTGTGTGTCTCAGAACCATAAAACTAACTTCAATAGTTTTATACATTCCTATTATTGTTAACCAAGACCAAAAAAATAAAAAGAGAATATTTTTGTTTTGAGTTATACAATTATCACAAGTGACTTTTAAATACTATTCTCTTTGATAAAGTCTGTTTAAAGTATTAAATACAAGACTAATAGTTGTATTAGCTCCTTTTTCTGTAGAACTATTTGGAAATTCATCTTCACCAATTAAAT